TGGAATATAGTGGTGCAATATTGGCTCACTGTAGTTTCTGCTTCCTGGGCTCCAGTGATCCTCCCACCTCAGCCTCCTGAGTAGCTGGGACTGCAGGCCCATACCACCATGCGTGGCTTTTGTTGTTGTTGTTTGTTTGCTTTTTGAGATGGAGTCTTGCTCTGTCACCCAGGCTGGAGTACCATGGCATGATCTTGGCTCACTGAATCCTCTGCCTCCTGGGTTCAAGCAATTGTCCTGCTTTAGCCTCCCAAGTAGCTGGCATGCACTAACTCTGTCTCTATTAAAAATACAAAAAAATCATGCCCTAATTTTTTATATTTTTAATAGAGACAGAGTTTCACCATGTTGGCCAGGCTGGTCTCAAACTCCTGACCTTTTGATCTGCCTGCCTAGGCCTCCCAATGTGCTGGGATTACAAGCATGAGCCACCATGCCCAGCATAATTTTTGTATTTTTTGTGGAGATGGGATTTCGCCATGTTTCCTAGGCTGGTGTTGAACTCCTGAGCTCAAGCAATCTGCCCACTTTGGCCTCCCAAAGTGCTGGAATTACAGGCATGAGCCACCATGCCCAGCAGGTTGCAACATTTAAAGTGAACTGAGATGGCTTAGGAATTCATAACTTAGTGCGTTTCCTGAGCAGGGCACCCTGAGTAGCGGAAGTACCCTCAGTCTAAGGGCTATCCCTGTCTGCTCAGTGACATTGGATGCTGGGGACAGTGACTTAGAAAAGAGAGATAGTACCCAGTGAGTAGAGTTTGCAAATGCTGTCTCATCAAGATCTGCCTATACTGATGTCAATCAAGATGGATTTTAAAAGGGTGGGGTGCAATAGCCAAAAGCCTTAATCAAACTTGAAAGACAATCAGGAAGTCTTAGAAAAATTCACACCATTTCTGGAGAAGAAAACTTATGACAGATAGAGAGTAGGTATCTCGGATAGAAGGATCTTACATGCCACTTATGGGGACAGAAGGTGGGCAAAAAGGCAAGAAAGAATTTCTCTTTACCTAGGGCACCAAAGCCAGAAAACCAATACCCACGGCTATAAAGAACAGCCCCATCTTGGTGTACTTTCTGAGCCGTCACTGAAAATTCCATGCTCTTCTGTAATAGTGTTGGTTGTAAATGTATTTCATGACATATGATGCAAGGGAGATGACAGCCCAGGAGACAATGGAATGGAAGGCTCACTGGTTTTCTAACTGTGTTCCCAGGCACCCTGGGATGCTGTAGACGGGGCCCTGGTGAGGACAGGTGACCTCCCACATAGGGCCCAGTATTGCTTCCATCCAGTGATTCATTAGCTGCATCATCTGGATAGGTCATTTTATCTTCTGAATTCTTGCTTCCCAGTCTATAAAATAAGGTCGTGGGGGAGGTGGGGCTGGACCACATTAGTGTGTTTCCAGTTATAAAACTTTTTGTTCAAATGAAAACAGACATATAAACCTAATATGCAAAAATAATTAGAGTATAAAATAAAGGGTGAGGGGTTAGTGACTAACAGTGAGGTCAACTGTTTTAACTCTCAGACACTCTGTTGGCTAAATGGTAATCTAATGTGTGTATTTATTTGCAAGACAGCATGGTGGTGAAACCCAACCATGGTCTGGTTTATTATGGAAAAGAATGTCAAGAGTTTTGGAATCCTTTCAGACCAAGGCTGAAAACTTATGGCCAAAGTGGTTCTGCCATGGCAAGAGAAATTTGCAGCTGCCTAGATTGTTCCTGGAACAGTGAACTTGTGTCTCTATATTTGTTTACTTAAGAGAAAATCTGCTGGGGAAATGGAGTAAACTGTCAAACTGTATTCTCTGGGCAAAGAGCAGAAGAGTAAATTAGTGGAATGCTTGCCAGAATGAACCCTGCTGCAGAAATTTCTTGTAATAATGATCTTTTAATTGAATTTATACTTTGTTGGAAAGAAACTCAGTGTTCAGGAGTTTGCCACTGCAGCATTTACAAAGAGAACAGGGAACTAATTTAATATCCATGAACTGAAGAGTCACTTTAGAAAAGCATCAACTCCATTTGGTGGTGTGTTTAAGTGAGTTTGCTTCATGGTTAAAGGAAAGGATTTCCTTTCCTTTGTCCCAAATATATCTCTTACGTACTCCATCACCAATGAGCATTGAAGCACAGTCCCTGCTGGGTTTCTGGGTTTCTGATTTATTGATGATTGATTGATGGATTGAGACAGGATCTTGCTCTGTCATCCAGGCTGGAATACAGTGGCACAATCATGGATCACTGCAGCCTTGACCTCCTGGGCTCAAGCTATCCTTCTGCCTCAGTCTGTCAAATAGCTGGGACTAAAGGAGCCCAGCTATTTGACAGAGTGACTATTTGCATGCCCCTATACCCAGCTAAGTTTTTAATTTTTTGTACACACAGGATTTCACTATGTTTCCCAGGCTGGTCTCAAATACCTGCTCAAGTGACCTGCCCACCTGGGCCTCCCAAAGTGCTAGGGTTATGGGTGTGAACCACTGTGCCCAGCCTAGTTTTAAAATATTTTATAGAGGTGAGGTCCCAGTATGTTGCCCAGGGGCTGGTCTTGAACTCCTGAGATCAAGCCATCCTCCTACCTCAGCCTTCCAAAATGTTTGAATTACAGGCGTGAGCCACTGTATCCAGCTGGCCTGGTTCTACTTTATTTTATTTAACCCATGTCATCCGGTGAATGTCTGAAATCTAGGTAGTGTCCCCAGGTGCTTGGATTCCGAGTCCCAGGGGATCAAGAAATCAACTTGTATTTTGACCCCTCATAGAACATCAGAGATCATAGGAGCTGTTAATATTAAGTAAGTCCAGTGTGCTCTGATACAGATTTTCCCCAAAAACATTTTTAGCTGTGTGGCCCCCTAGCAATTTGCAGCAATTAATATTTATGAGACTTTATTTTTAAAAAGTGTCATTTAAAAGTGATTTACTTTGCTGATTTTTTTTCCTTGGTGGGGATGGAGTCTCGCTCTGTCACCAGGCTGGAGTGCAGTGGCATCATCTCAGCTCACTGCAACCTCTGCCTCCCAGGTTCAAGTGATTCTCCTGCCTCAGCCTCCCAAGTAGCCGGGACTACAGGTACGCACCACCACACCTAACTAATTTTTGTATTTTTAGTAGAGATGAGGTTTTACCATGTTGGCCAGGCTGGTCTCAAACTCCTGACTTCAGGTGATCCACCCGCCTCAGCCTCGCAAAGTGCTAGGATTACAGGTGTGAGCCACTGCACCCAGCCTATAAATGATGTTTAATGCAGTGTTTTGTTTGTTTTCCAAGATGGAGTCTTGCTCTGTTGCCCAGGCTGGAGTGCAGTGGCACGATCTCTGCTCACTGCAACCTCTGCCTCCCAGGTTCAAGCAATTCTCCTGCCTCAGCCCCCAAGTACCTGGGATTACAGGTGCCCACCACCATGCCCAGCTAATTTTTGTATTTTTAGTAGAAATGGGATTTCACCATGTTGGCCAAGCTGATCTCGAACTCCTGACCTAGTGATCTGACCGCCTCAGCCTCCCAAAGTGCTGGGATTATGGGCATTAGCCACCATGCCCAGCCAGTGCAGTGTTTTAAAAGATCAAAATTAATGCAAAAACATCCATGATGAACAAAATATCTGAAGTTTAAATAAAGTCAGGGAAAGTAACAGTGATGCTAAGCCATATTGGAGCCTGAAGCAAAAGGAAAAATCAGTATAACCAACCCTGTCTTTATTTAAAATTTGGGTATTTTGGCCTGGCGCAGTGGCTCACACCTGTAACCCCAGCACTTTGGGAAGCTGAGGTGGGTCGATCACGAGGTCAGGAATTCAAGACCAGCCTGATCAACATGGTGAAATCTCGTCTCTTCTAAAAATACAAAAATTAGCCGGGTGTGGTGGCGCACAACTGTAATCCCAGCTACTTGGGAGACTGAGGCAGGAGAATTGCTTGAACCCGGGAGGCGGAAGTTGCACTGGGCCCAGATCATACCAGTGCATTTCAGCCTGAGGAACAAAGGGAGACTCTGTCAAAAAAAAAAAAAAAAGAGCATTGTTTTCATTGTGGATTTTTCAGCATAAATCTTGATTAAAAAAAAAAATGTTGCCTGAAATGATCATTTATCTTGATGCCTGGATATTCTGGCAACCCTCTGACATTTTGCCCCATCACCTGAATCCTATCCTGCAAAGAGTTTTTAAATCCCTGTGCCAGGTAGTGAGCTAGGTGCTGGAAATGCAAGATGAGGACATACAGGAGGCTTCAGACTAGTGGGAGTCAGTCATGTCAATTGTCACAGCATAGCACCGTCATTGCATGGCTGTGCACAAAGTGCCATGGGGAAGCAGTTGCTGTTGAGTCAAGGTTCTCTGGGAGGTGGATTTGAGTGAGACTTGAGGGCTGTATCCAAACTGGTCAGTGGACACAAGAGTAGGGGAAGGATTTGGTTGGAAATGGCAGGTCCCTTTATCACCTCGAGCCTCAGTTTACCCCATCTATAAAATGGAGGAAATAGCCGGGCACGGTGGCTTAAGCCTGTAATCCCAGCACTTTGGGAGGCTGAGGCGGGTGGATCACGAGGTCAAGAGATCGAGACCATCCTGGTCAACATGGTGAAACCCCGTCTCTACTAAAACTACAAAAAATTAGCTGGGCATGGTGGCACATGCCTGTAATCCCAGCTACTCAGGAGGCTGAGGCAGGAGAATTGCCTGAACCCAGGAGGCGGAGGTTGCAGTGAGCCGAGATCACGCCATTGCACTCCAGGCTGGGTAACAAGAGCGAAACTCCGTCTCAAAAAAAAAAAAAAAAAAAAAAAATGGAGGAAATAGTAGTGCTTGCCTTACAGGGTGGTGTGATAAGAACGAGTCCATCGTGTTAAGCACCTAGAACAGAGCCTGGCACATAACTTGGCGTATGTCAGCTGTGATGGCAATGACAGTGCTGGCTATTGCATGCAGATTTCTTAAAATGACAGTGTTCTTTTGGCCACATATACAGTCTAAGCTTTGCTTTGCAGACATCCACGACAGCGATGGCAGTTCTAGCAGCAGCCACCAGAGCCTCAAGAGCACAGCCAAATGGGCGGCATCCCTGGAGAATCTCCTGGAGGACCCAGAAGGCGTGAAAAGATTTAGGGTTTGTCTTTTTCGTTGCTAATCGGGATAGATGCAGTACGTGTGTAAGTTTAGTTGCATGCAGGGGAGAAATAGGCAGTTCAGCATTGTCTATCAGCTTAGCACTCTCTATGCCAGCTCGAGAGATCAGTATTGTCTATCCCAGCTTGAGGGTGAGACTTTGTCATCTGTCATGACCGTGTTGGCAACACTGTCACAGATAGTCCTGGACAGATACTGAGGGGCATGAGCTGCCTGTGTCTGGTTTTTGTGTAGTGAGGTGGGAGGGGATGCAGGGTGTGGGGAAAAGATACTTGCCCATTGGTGGAGTTTGTATGAGGAATTCCCAGCTCTGGGTATCTCTGATGTGAAGGCATGTTCACTCGTGCTTGGGGGATTCTCAGAATGCATTGTTGACAGGGTGAGAGAGGCTGCCAATGTGAACTTGGTGAAGGGACCTCCGAGAGCAGGGCTGATGAATGGAGAACTGTCAATGCCACTTAGAAATAACTTTTCCCCGGCTGGGCACGGTGGCACACTCCTGTAATCCCAGCACATTGTGAGACTGAGGCAGGCAGATCACAAGGTCGGGAGTTCAAGACCAGCCTGCCAATATGATGAAACCTGTCTCTACTAAAACACAAAAATTCGTCAGGTATGATGGTGGGTGCCTGTAATCCCAGCTACTCAGGAGGCTGAGGCAGGGATCACTTGAACCCAGGAGGCAGAGGTTGTAGTGAGCCAAGATTGCACCACTGCATTCCAGCCTGGGCGACAGAGCAAGACTCTGTCTAAATAAATAAATAAATAAATAAATAAATAAATAGAAAGAAAGAAAGAAAGAAATAACTTTTCTGACCAGCAGAAGCCCCTGAAGCCAGCTGGAGGACCACATGTGAATTTTGAGAATGAGTCCCGATCACTTCTGTCTTTAAGTCTTGGGTCAGGAATAGGATGAGTCCTCATGCAGTGGACCCCTGTTGGGGCTCCCAGCGGGGAGTGGCAGGTGGTGCTAGGTTTCTAGTTCCTGGTTGCCAGGCCACTGTGAGCAGTGTTTGCAACCCAGGAGATCTCTGCTCAGCAGAGTAGCTGGCTGTGCCACGGACTGCCCAATATCTGCCAAAAGAAAACACACATACCTCCAACTTAAAATAGTTTTTATCATGGTGCTTTAGACATGCTTCATGTGTTTTCTTTTCTTTTGTTTAAAAAAAAGAGCCTGATTTTAGAGGAATGTACTTTGTTTAAACACTGTCTGGAAGGAACCAATATATCTTCCACTTTAATTTACTTTTTGGTAATTTATTGTCAGCTTAGAAATATGAGTAGATTCCTGCTTCATCTGTACTCTTCGTTACAATTTCAAACCATTAAAGTCAAATGAACATGAAATTCTAGCTTTAACATTAAATATACGCATTTGTTTTTGAGAGTGGAGATTTCCAAGGGTAATTGAACCATGTTCCTCTGTTGAATTTTGCCATATCAGTCTTTGAAGGGAAATGCCATTTGTTTCATTTTTTAAAAATGTGGAATACTGTGTAACTCTTTTTCTTTGTATCCACAGGAATTTTTAAAAAAGGAGTTCAGTGAAGAAAACGTTTTGTTTTGGCTAGCATGTGAAGATTTTAAGAAAATGCAAGATAGGAAGCAGGTATTTCCTCCACCCTGTAATCAATGTCTTGACAATTTTTTTCCATTTCCTTATAAAGTTACAACTGCGTTTCCAATAGATTCTGAAATTGCCTAAAGAAACCTGATTCACATTAGTTTTGGGGGAAGATCTAAGCTTCAGATTAGGTATCTTGTGTTGATCAAATATTAATCTTTTTATTTTTTATTTTTTTGAGACAAAGTCTCGCTTTTTTACTAGGCTGGAGTGCAGTGGCATAATCTTGGCTAACTCCAACCTCTGCCTCCTGAGTTTAAGTGATTCTCCTACCTCAGCCTCCCAAGTAGCTGGGACTACAGGCATGCCCCACTATGCCCAGCTAATTTTTGTACTTTTAGTAGAGATGGGGTTTCACTATGTTGGCCAGGATGGTCTCAATCTCTTGACCCTGTGATCTGCCTGCCTTAGCCTCCCAAAGTGTTGGGATTACAGGTGTCAGCCACCATGCCCAGCCTTTTTTTTTTGAGATGGAGTCTTGCTCTGTCACCAGGCTTGATTGCAGTGGCACAATCTCGGTTCACTGCAACCTTCACCTCCTGGGTTCAAGCGATTCTCCTGCTTCAGCCTTCTGAGTAGATGTGACTACAGGCGCACACAACCACACCCAGCTGTTTTGATATTTTTAGGAGAGACGGGGTTTTACCGTGTTGGCCAGGATGGTCTCGATCTCTTGACCTTGTGATTTACCCACCTCGGCCTCCCAAAGTGCTGAGATTACAGGTGTGAGCCACAGCGCCCAGCCCATTAATCATTTTTAAAAGGATGAGTTAATCCATTTTTAAATGGAGCTGTTCAAATGGACCAATATTTAAAATAAAAATAACTACTTATGTCATTTAGAGTTTCTCATGCCGTTTTTTTCTTCATGAATAAGTTATGAGGATGTTTCCCCCAGAGATTGACATGTTAGCATTTTTGGACGTGGTAAAACAATACGCAGATGTATAATGATAAAAGCACAAGGTGCATCAGAGGGATTGTCGATTATTCAATATACCATTCTGAGCGTCCCATAGTTGGTGAGCATCCTGCATAGAAAGTCTGTGACTGTTCTCCTGGGTAGATGTGTCCTCTTTGCCTTCATTCCCAATGTTAGCTGTTGGGTCTAAGGGAGGTAGATGAGATTATGGGGAAGGAGGCCTGTGCCCTGGGTGGGTTTATGAGGCCTGGCCCTGTATCTTTCTAAGAGCTGCTGGCTAAATGTCTGCAGGAGCCAGTAAGTCATGTGAATGAAGGAGGCTCCTGGTGTGAGGCTGGAGGGAGTGGTGGGGATTGGGGCCAACTGAGGACAGCCTGTTTGCTTGCACAGGCTGTGGCTGGTGGTTTAGGGCCTGTGGCTGTCTGGGCTTCCCCTGCTTCAGGTTCTGTCTCCACCAACTCACTAACAGCAATCTGCTAGATCTTTGCTTGCCCTGGGACCCTGATGGCCTTTCTTCCCAAGGCACCTCTTCTATTCTACCTAGGGCTGCCTGTTTTTCTAAAGAAGCTAGACATTTGGATCCTTATGTGAAATCAAGATGATTGTTAAATGTTGGAACTCATTTTTAAAAATTTAAACCCTTGCCTGCCAAACAAAGCATACCCATGGGCAGATGCAGCTTGTGGGTTGCCAGTTTTTGAGACTTCGTCTCCAAAAGCTGGAATCCATGGGCCAGGAGCTATGAAGTGTTTGCAGACAACTGCTTGGAAAATGTACATCATGGGTTTATTCAACGGCTTTTCTGGGCGCAGACACACATCCCCCCAGATGGCACAGTGCGACCTTTTCTCTACCACCTTCCTCTCCGGAGGTGGCAAGGGAGGATTCTAAGATGGAGTCTCTTTGGCTTGAACTTCCCAGGCCCGCCTGAAAAGCCACTGCTGGGCGTGACCCTCGGATTTTGCTTTCTGGCTTTTTCTCTCTTCTGGGTGAACTTGGCCGGAGCCTCCTGGGTGGAGAGGGGGCCTCAGGGGAAGGTGAGAAGCAGGTGGTGGGGGATGCTTTGGAATGTTAGGATTCAGGCTAAGGACCTTCAGAACAGGAGTCTCCCTGTTGTCCTTTGTCCCCAGCACCGAGGACAGGGCCCGGGGACCATCATCGATAAATGGTAGACTGTGCAACTACTGCGACCAGCCTCACTGTAAAATCCTAGCTCAGAGTCAGGCAAGCAAACAGATGTCCATTCCCCTGCTTTCTTCTTTTGACTATTAGAGGTAGGAGAGGCCTGTGGGTGGGCCGGCCCACCCTTGCAGTGTAACAAGGAAGTGAGGCCCCCACAGCAGGGCAGAGCTAGGACGTGAACCAGCCCCCCTGAGGTCACCTGTTGTTCCCTGCACACCATGCTGCTCTGTGCCTCCATTCAGCTGAACTCCCTGAATCTTTGTGAAGTGCCTGGTTGATGAGCAGGAGGCAGCCCAGGGACAGGACAGGTGAGCAGCGCCAAGGAAGGGCGCCTGGAGGGAGCAAGCCTATGCAAGTGCTATGATGGGTGTAGAGATGGGAAGTGCATGTGTTGTGGGAGCAAGGCGAGGGCAACAGGGAGGGATCCAGGGGAAGTGGCTTTTTAGCTGAGACTTGGCATTGAGATGGGAGGGCGTTCCTGGGAGCAGGGACAGTGTGTGGGCAGGCAGGGCTGGCGAGAAAAGCTGAGGGAAGACCAGAAGGAATGAGTGGCATGTTTGAGGGGGAGGCTGCTGTGCTGTGCTTCAGGCTGGCAGGGAAGCCACACCTGGGAACTTGGGTGCCAAGGTGAGCAGGGCTGGAAAAGCCCTGCAGGACTTTAATGGGGTGGTTGGGAGGACGGGGTCGAACTTCCGACGTGCCTCCTCCAGGCTTTCAGGTCAGGCAGGTCTGGTGTTGGGTTGCCCTGCCCTGTCCATCTCCTACAGAGAGAGCTTCAGAACGGGCAGCCCCTTTCCATGACTGTACCCTGACACATCCAGCATAGGACTTCTTTTCTTTTCTTTTCTTCTTTTTCTTCTACTTCTTTTTTTATTTTATTATTTTTTTGAGACAGGGCCTTCAGGCTGGAGTGCAGTTCCACGATCTTGGCTCACTGCAGCCTCTGACTCCTGGGTTCAAGTGATCCTTCTGCCTCAGCCTCCTAAATAGCTGGGATTACAAGTGTGTGCTACCATGCTTGGCTAATTTTTGCATTTTTTGTAGAGACGGGGTTTCACCATGTTGGCCAGACTGGTCTTGAACTCCTGATCTCAAGTGATCTGCCTGTCTTGGCCTTCCAAAGTGCTGGGATTGCAGGTGTAAGCCACTGTGCCCGGCCCAGCTTAGACTTCTCTAGAAAGTCTGTGTCCTTAAGCCTGGAATGCAACTGGCAATTGCTTTGGTGCAGTGAATGCCACCGTCCCCTGTCACTGCCTGAGAATGCAGATTGGGTGGAGGCATTGGTGATACCTGGGGTGTTTGTCCTGGAGTGTCTGGGCCCCAATGTGAGTCATCATTCCCATTAGAAGATGCAGGGATATGATCTGAGTAGTTAAGCAGCAGCTTGCCCGAGGCTGGGCACAGTGGCTCACGCCTGTAATTCTAGCAATTTGGGAAGTCAAGGTGGTTGGATCACTTGAGCCCAGGAGTTCGAAATCAGCCTGGGCAACATGGTGAGACCTTGTCTCTACAAACAAATACCAAAAAAAAAAAAAAAAATTAACTAGATATGATGGTGTGCACCTGTAGTTGCCTGGGGTGATTGAGGCTGCAGTGAGCCATGATCATGCCACTGCACTCCAGCCTGGGTGACAGAGTAAGACCCTGTCTCAAAAGAAAAAAAAAAAAAAAAGAATTCAGAGCCACATTTCTGATGCCAGGCATCTCCTAGTGAGTCCTGCTGCCTGGGAAGTAAAACCTGGGAGTAAGCTCTAAATTACTAATTTACAAAAGTCAGGGGGGCGGGGAACATAGGCACTGGGAGAAGTCACCTAACTGAATTGCTTTGTTCTTTTTTTTTTTTTTTTTTTGAGACAAAGGTTTGCTCTTGTCACCCAGGCTGGAGTGCAATGGCACGATCTCAGCTCACTGCAACCTCCACCTCCTGGGTTCAAGTGATTCTCTTTCCTAAGCTTCCCAAGTAGCTGGGATTGCAGGTGCCTGCCACCACACCTGGCTAATTTTTATATTTTTAGTAGAGATGGGGTTTCACCATGTTGGTGAGGCTGGTCTCAAACTCCTGTCCTCAGATGAGCCATCCGTCTGGGCCTCCCAAAGTGCTGGGACTACAGACGTGAGCCACCGCACCCGGCCAGCTCTTTTTAATCTGCTATTGTGCACTTCACCTAACTGGATTTCACAGTCAAACTTATCACATCTGTTCCAGCAGGGAGACCATGGGTGGATTTTTCTTCCCATCCATGTACTAACCAGGCCCGACCTTGCTTAGCTTCCGAGATCAGATGAGATCTGATCGGGCACGCTTAGAGTGGCATGGCCATAGATGGGAGGATTTTTTTTCTCTCCGTCAACTAAGGCCGTTGAGGGGTCGATGCGAATTCTGCTCTTATCTCTGTTGTTGTAATAGAACGTGTGTTGGTTCATTCCTAGACTTCCATTACCCAGCACTCACTGACTCTGCGTATCTGTGTCATTTACTTGTCTATCTTCTGTGTGGTTTGTCTTGTGGACTCTGGGAGCGGGGACCGCTTCTTCCCCAGTGTCTCTGAGGGCCTAGACCCATGTCTGACACATGTGAACTTCCCTTCCTCTTTGTAGGACGAAGACATTCCATTTACTTGATCCAGGTCCTCTTCTCTCCTGAGTCATTCCCTCATTTGGGGAATAGCGCATGAGAATGACTTCTTCCCTCCAGAATGACTCACAAGAGAAGAGCCCAAAACACAGCCGGCCATAGCTTCCTGAGAAAGGGGGCTGGGCAGGTAGACGTGTAAATGCCTGTGAGTGGAAATGTTATTTTTTTCCTACCCTCCCACCCCCTTGGTAATCTGACAGAAAGTACAGTTCTGAGGTGGAACGAACTCAGAAGTTTGAAGACGTC